AGAAAAACAAGGGGGGGGGGGGAATGGGAGGAGAGAAGAGGAGAGAAAAAGAGGGAGAGAAAGGGGAGGGGGAGAAAGAGAGAGGCAGAGAGGAAGGGAGGGGGAGATTAATGGTCCCCCCCCTCCCGTTCTCTGTCTCATTTTTAATGAGTTCTTTCCTTTCTCCCTCCCCCTCAAGAAAGAATACTTTGATTGGGCTAGACTAAAATTTCTTACCTTTCTTTTCAAGGTTTCTCTGCAAAGAATGAGTCTGAATTCATCTCATTCTCCACTGCTCCTCTCTCCTCCCTCCCCTCTTCAGCCGCCATTGTCAGCTCTTCTATTTTGCTCAAACTGAGAGGCAGCTTGTCAACGGTCACTTCCCACAACCATAACGGATAGGGTCAAGCAGAAGCTGGGATCAGGGGGATGCCAGTGGGTGATCAATGGCATCTCAGGAGCCAGCCGCACTTGCAAAGCAGAGAAACCAGGACCATCTGACAGCTAAGATGGCCCTGATAACTAACCTGTTGCCTGCTGCCAGGCAGAAGTAGCCTCTGCAGGTGCAGATGGCAGAAGTCACAGACAAAGCATCACCCCATCCAAACAAAAATTTCAACAACAAAATAGCCAGAGAGGCAGCTTAGCAGAGTGCCTTAGGAGGCTGGCCCAGGGTTTGGGAGAACTGGGTCCTAGTCCCTGTCTATCACAAATTGGCTATGTGCACACTGCTTCTCTGGGCCTCTGTTTCCTCATCTATTAAGTGAGAGGGCTGGACTAGATTACCCATGATTCCTTCTGGTAATAAGGTTATATTGCATAAAAAGCTATCAACACTAACATGGGTTATAGGATCCCCTTCTTCTACTATTCCAGAGTGCTTCTCTTGGGCAGCCCCACCACCTTCTAGAAAAGCACCTTCTGGCCCAGAGCCCCTCTCCAGATGCATGGCTGGCATGATATAGGCGCAAGGCCCAAATGCCCCTAAAATGTGAGAACTGAGAAAAGGCAAATTAAGGACATTTAGAATCAGTGAGGGTGGAAGTGGAAAGCGCTGGGAGGCCAGGGGAGGGGGGAGGCATGGATCAGCCAAACCCTGAAATTAGGGATGATTCATATTTGAATAATGTGGGAGGGATGAACTCAGAGCAGCCAAGAGAAGAGGCTAATCCTGTTCAGGAGCCCCCCCAAACTAAATCCAGCAGGGGGACAAGAGTGAGTGTTAGGGGCCCCACATTTGAAATAGGAAAATATTAAACAACCAATAATCTTATTGAAGCTAGGGGAAATGAGGTTGCTTCTCTTTCTTTCTTCTCAAAGTATATTTCCCCTCTCTCAATGATTGCTTTGGATATTATATTTAAGCTTCTTTGCCTTTTCCTACTGATTTCATTTTTTCAACTCTTCTGGTTGGTGTCCCTAGAGGGGACAAACTTTTTCATTTTTTGGTCTTATTATCTGTTTTCTCTCCTTCCGTTCACTGCCTCCCTCCTCTCTTCACCATCCTTCTGGCCCTTTGCCTCTGTTTACTCCATCTCCACCTTCCTTTGAGTTTCCTCTCACTCAGTCCAAGCCACCAAACCTTTCTCATCCCTCCTCAGCAGGGTTGCTTTGTGACTCTCTCAGGGCTGGCCACCCTACCCTACCAACTGCCCCTTAACTGTGCTGACTCATGATGTAGGACAGCATATGAAGTACCAAAACCTTTTCTGACACCTCAAGCCCTTGAAGTTCACAAAAAGGGAGGGAAGACACAGAGGATACAGCTGGACAAAGTGACTCTGGTCCCTGGGAGAAACCCAACTCCTCTCCCAGACTCTGTTAGCTGTGACTCAAGACCTCTGAATCTCTCTGCACATTGTCTTTATTCCGGGGGGAGAGAAGTGGTGCATCTATCAGCAAGTCTCTCCTCTAACTATGGGACCACTGCCCAAATGGTACCAAGTGAAAGAGAGCCTGGCTCAAAACTCCACAACTATTCAAAGCCTCCATATCCATCTTCTTTCTCATCCCCTCTCCTCAGGATCCTACAAGGAGCCACAGAGACAATGCCTTGTGTCTTCCTACTTTTCTAGGGAAAAAATTAAAGACAGCCACCTCCCAGAATTCCAAGGAAACATGTTCTCTCAATTAATCAGTCTCCTCGCAGCTTTCATTTTTCCAGTAGGCTTTCCCCAGGACTCAGCATTACAAACTTAGGATAATACCGAGGAAGGACCGTTGTATGGAGGGGGAAATGCACATTTCAAGAGAATAATCTCCTGTCGTTAGGGAGTCAAACACCTGCGTCTGGATCCGCCCCCCCCATCACTCACTCTAACACACACACACCCACACACA